CCAGGCTCCAGAGCAAATATGGTACAATTTCTCGTGACATTTTCTGAGGCAAGAAGGAGAAAAGGCTAGGAGCCAGGATCAAACCCTATAATCCTTCCACATTATTACAATGCTGGCATATTTTCTGTGAGTTCTGGGATTACTGACAACATTTCAGCACAGATTATATTGTGTTCTGATCTGACAGGGCCCTGCCTATTGCAGAAAACCCCATCTCAAAAAAGAAAAAGAAAGGAAGGAAGGAAGGAGAGAGAGAGAGAAAAGAAAGGAAGGAAGGATGGAGAGAGAGAGACAGAAAGAAAGAGAAAGAAAGGAAGAGAGGGAGGGAAGGAGGAAGGGAGGAAGGAAGGAAGGAAGGAAGGAAGGAGAGAGAGAGAGAAAAGAAAGGAAGGAAGGATGGAGAGAGAGACAGAAAGAAAGAGAAAGAAAGGAAGAGAGGGAGGGAAGGAGGAAGGGAGGAAGGAAGGAAGGAAGGAAGGAAAAGGATATTAAATTAAAAGTAAAATAAGAAAGGAAAGGACTTCTTCATAGAACATAGAAAACAGACAAGAATTGTAGGTGATCAAACCTCACAACTACCAAAAAAAAAGAGGGGAATTTTAGGTGAAAAGCAGCAGCAAAAGGTGATACTGTGATATGACAGCAAAGGAGCTAATGTGATCTTAGGCGACATTGTTAGGACAGACTTTAGGATAAGGAAGGTGATGTATCCGCCCTGTTTAAAAACCATGCCTGGCATACCACACTCAGTTGTATCACATTTAAAAAGCGACATAGACAAAAGGAAGCAATTGTTGATGAAGCAAACCAGGATGATGAAAGGTCTAAAACTGTACCTTCTGAGCAATTTTTAAAATGGTTTAACCAAAAGACTTAAGAAAGAGCGATCATGAATGTCTTCAGACATGTGATGACCTAGCAACGTGGAAAGGAGATTGAACCTATTCTGTAAGGACCCAAGGGGCAAAACTCAGGCCGGGTTTGGACTGCATATAGGAACTGACATTCTGAACTGTCCCAAGAAGGAATGGAGACAGGAGACGCAGTGAGTTTCCAGAGTCCTGGAACTGCTCAAGCTCTGGTAGAGTAACCCAAAGGGGCGGGGCAGGAGAGGAGGGCCTCCCACTTCAGCTGAGGTAGCTCCACATTTATCTGCTTGAACTTTGGGTTGCTGGGTTGACTTGACTTTGGCAAAACAGCTCAGAGTAGGCAAACAGTGAGATGAGATTACCTGACAGTTCTCTTTAAATGCTGAGATGCTTATAACCTATGGCAATAATGCTTATAACCTAAGTAAGGAACCTATGACTGACTCATGGGGTAAACTGTGACTGACAGCTATATCTAAAGGCCTCACAGAGATAAAGTGGCAGCATTTTGTTCCTTGCTCTCACTTCTTTCTCTCTTTCACCTGTTTCCCTAATTCCCCACTCATTTACAGGTATAAGAAAAAGAATTTGAGATTTAGATTTCAAAAAATTCACCCTAGTTCCACAAGATATCAAACCCAGAGTTACCACGTGACCCAGCAATTCTGCTCCTAGGTATCTGGCCAAGAGAAATGTCCACACAAGTCTACAGTAATACCACCCTAAACACTCCCCACCTCGTCTGATCTTGGAAGCCAAGCAGGTAGTACTTGGATGGAGAAATGTCCACACAAAAATGTGGATGTGGATGGAAGATTATTTATAATAGTCAAAAAGCAGAAAACAACTGGGCTGGCAAAGTAGTTCAAGAGGCAGAGCACCTGCTAAGCAAGCAAAAAATCCTGAGTTCAAACCCCAGTACTGCCAAAAAAAAGTAAAAAAAACATAAAATGCCCTTCAACTGGTAAATGGAGAAACAAAGTGTGGTTTAACCATATAACAGGATATTATTTGGCCATAAGAAGGAATGACATACTGACACATTCTATGACACGGATGAACCTTAGAACATACACTAAATGAAAAAAGCCAGGCACAAAAGGCCAAATGTTGTAAAATTCCATTTACATGAAATGTCCAGAATTGAGAGTCAGAACGTAAACTAGTGATTGCTGGGGGAAAAGGCGATGGAGCGATAGAGACTGACTACTAAGAGTTCTTTTGGGGGCGATGACAATGCCCTGAAATTAAGCAATGGGAATGTTTGCACAATCCCGTGACTATACTAAAAGCACTGAATGGTGCACTTGAAAAGGGTGTAATTATTCAAGGTTATGGGAAAATCTCAACAGGTCTAATATTAACACACACAAACACAAAAGATTTGGACTTGTATCCAAAGCCCTTCTTAGCCGTGTGGCCTTTTAAAATTATCAAATTTCTTCACGCCTCAGTTTCCCCATTCCTAAAGGAAGTATGGTAATTACCATCCAGATTTCAAAGAAAATCCAAAGTAAAAGTATTTCTCAAATCATAAATTGGTTTAAGAAGTATAGCTACAGGACTAGGGGTGTAGCTCGGTTGTAGAGCCCTCATATCCCATATGCGAGGGGCTGGGTTTGATCCCCAGCACCACAAAAAGATTTGGACTTGAATCCAAAGTAAACATGAAATAACATTCTTTTTTTAAAAAGGAGAGCTATAGTCCACTTTTCAAAGTACTATAGTCTTTCCTACAGTATTAAAAAGAAGTTTGTGATTCCCAGCTTATGTTAGAGTTTAAATCCCTTAAAGAAAAAAAAAAACAAAACACTACTTAAATGACAGGGCAAGGTCCTAAAGGATGAGACTGGACAGCCTTTTCAGGAGGCTAGAGACTGCTGACCTGTACATTTAGCAGCCATTACAAACCAAATAGGAGAGACAGCAAGAAAAAAACTGTAAGAGAAATTTCATTCATTGTTTATGCATTACCTTCTAGCTTTATCTCACTTCTAGCTTTGTCTCATCCAGACAGTCAGTATGGACTGCACTTTCTGAAGCTTAAATGGAGTAGAACTATGACTTTTGAGTTCCTGTCACCATTAAAGCCTGAGGCAGGCTCAACACATGAAGATGTGTGAGCTCATATATTACCCTGCTGTGGTCGTGCATTGTAATGTAAATCTGCACTTTCAAAGAATTTTTTTCCCAATGTAGCTAATGAAATACTTGAATGTTTAATTTAATTCTTGGTGAAATGGTGTTTCTGTGATCCACTGCTTTAATTGAATCATCATAGTAATTAACTCAATGCTATTCATTTATATTTGCACTTAATGGAAGCCTCTTAAAATGAAAATTTCACATCAAAACATCATTGCCTAAGACAGCATCAGTTAACATTCATCTCTGCACCAAAGGTTACACTTGCCTTAAACTTTATTCATAAGGCAACCTCCAAAATAATCAATATAGAGCTAAGAACTTTCTGAGAAAAGTAATTTAACAGTTATGATTCGATTTTGTTTTAAAGTGATCTTATTGTTTGATTTCTAAAGTGATTTTTCTTTAAATTGTTTCCTCTACAACACATAAGAGTTACTTTTTACTTTCTTCTGGATATCATTGCCAGCAAAACACCATACCAATCTCTCTCGGCTGGCAATTAACAGAAAAAGGCAGAAAACCAAAACATTCAGGAATCAATGGGTAAGCCAACTTCGTGCTTGAACTGCTGCTTAGCAACAGTCTGACCAGGTCCTGGAACAACTGCTCAAATAAAAACATCTACACTCATTTTCATGTCGTAAGTCAAACTGTCCCTGAGATGCCCACATATTAACATTTGTTTAAGGATGCATGCCTGGAAGTCATTTCATGTGATTTTCAGCCATATGCCTTTTACAACTGCTATACGGGAGAGTCTACCACAAATGTGGGAGCTTGCACCCACCTTAGACGTCAAAAGTAGTAATTCCAATATGATTAGAAGTCAATTAAGGAAACTATTGTTAATTGAAGAATCTATTCAGCTTACCGAGGCACAAAACCATTCCCATTGGTCTACCCTTAAAGTATCCCAGTAGCCAGAAATCTTCCTAATACATTCTACCTGCTTCATATGAAAATCACAAGCTGCCGTCATGAAAAAGATGGCAAATTCCACCAGAGAGGAAAAAAATATCAGTAAAGAGGATGAATCAACACACTCACTGATCCTGCTTGCAAACAGGTGTTAAGAATCCCCCTAAATCACAACTAGCACTGCAAAACAAATTTCTCTAGTTGCCCTAGGGTCTAGACTCGAAATCATTCTGACTGCATTTAAAGCAAATTCTACAATTTTTGTCCTCTTAACAAACTTTGGGGGCCCTCTGATGAGGCAATAAATTCAACATATTAAAAATGAGTGGTGAACTTTTGTGCATGAATGATCACACATCCACGTTCTGATAAAATATGCAAGTGTGCTGTGAAAATCTTTTTCAACCTTACTCGTGAGACTAAAAAAAAAATCTTTCAAGCAGATAAGAGTTCATATTTTTAAAAAGATACCATATTGGCAGCTAGCAATGTTTCCTTCCTGCAAAAAAAAAAAAAAAAAAAAAAAACTGCAAAGAAAAAGAAAATCTCTTATCCCATAAACAAAACCAGCAGCCACACTTTTAAGCCGGGGCCAGTCCGGCTTTGCATTTAAAAAGCTCTCATTGCATTAGCCAGGATGATTTCATTAAAGTGGCCTGGATGGTCCTGGGGTCCAGCTGCTGCACACCCTGCGCGCATCCTCGCCCCAGGGTTTTGTTATCCGAGTTCAGCATCCAGCGCGGTCCAAACAGATGTGAGTTTGGACGCAAACGAGCAACACGTCCCCGGACCGCCGCGGTTCCCCGAGGGCCTCGGCTGCTCCCCGACTCCCGCGCGCCGCTGGCCGGCCGGGGCTCCCCGGGGCTCCCCGGGGTCGCGCGCACTGGCGGGGAGCCCGGGGCCCGGGGCGACGCGCGGCCCCGCGGCCCCAGCACAATGCGCCGGCGGCGGGAACCGGGGCAACTTGGCGCGGCCTCGCCCGCGGCCGCCGGGCCTGGCCCTCGGCTGGGTCCCTCGCCGCCCGCCGCCCGCTGCCTGCGGCCTCTCCCGCGCCGCCGCCCTCACCGTTGCAGAACTGGAGCAACGAGGACGTGTCGTACAGGCTGCTGTAGCTCGAGAAGCCGTCCTCCATGCTGAGGCCGCCTGGCCGCGCCCGCTCCCGGCCGGCCGCCGCCGTGTTCACTCGCACACTGAGCCGAGCCGAGCCGAGCCGCGGCTGGCGCTGGCGCTGGCGCTGAGGCCGGCCCTGCTGTGGCGGCGGCTGCCGCCGGTCACCATGGCAACCCGGGCCCGCCGCCGCCGCCGCCGCCGCCGCGCGAACCCGGCGCCCGCACTGCCCGCGAGGGGGCGGCCTTCGGGGCGCGGGCGCGGGCACGGCCGGGAGGGGACGTGGCGGGCGGGGGCCGCGCGTGGGGCGGGGACGGAGCTCAGCTCGCCTGGACCGCCGCCTGCTTCCCCTCCCGGTCGGGCTCGACCCGGCCTGCTCGCGGGGATCCAAGGGGACAAAGGGCGAGGTCGGGAGTGTAGGGCACGGTGGCCCGCCACGGGATCGGGGGTCCCCTCCTAGCCACACTCCCCCCCGACGCGCTGTCCCCGCGCTCGAGGGCAGCTGAAGGACCAAACATGGACAACTTGCCGGCAGATTCAGACTTCCACCTCCGAGCACCTCCCTCTTGGCCACGTCCCCTAGGAGGCGCGCCCCTCTCTCCACTCGTTCTTCCTTCGCGGCTGCAAGAGGGAATCAAGCCACCCGGCTGGCAACTTCACCGCGACCATTGGGCACCTGGGGAAAAAGGCGGCTTCCCTCTTCAAAACAGGCCACTCAGATCCCCAGGTGGAAAGGCTGCAGGTGGTGGAAGAGGGACTTTGAGCTAAAACTGCCACTCTGTCCTTCTTCCCCCTGTGACCAGCCCCAGGGATGTGAACTGTCACATTACACACTTGCTGACTTGTTATAGGATCCAGAGATCTTTCCTTTTCTAGCTCAGGCAGAGACCGAGAGTTAGGACAAAATAACATGGTGGCAGAAGCACATAAGTCCACGAGTCTGAAGCTTTTTCAGCCCGTGGGTATAAGTGCTAAGTTAATTTTGTGCACTTTACTACCCATGGCCAAAAGTAAATACACTGGCAAATCACAACTGAGGAAGCAAGAAAGAAAATAGTAGCTCTGACCCAAGAATAGGCTTAGCATTACATTTCTACCCCTTGTTACACAAGTCACTATTTGGTTAGCATGTACAAATCTGAAGCTTTTCCATATTCACTTGCATAGTTTAAACACAGTAGAGGAAATGACAGGAATAAAAAGTTATTATTAGGAAAACTTCTGGGCCTCCCTAGAGTTCCAAGGCCTGGAAAACCCAGCATAGACATCAGTAGATGACCAGATCAGGGAGGGGGTCTGTCACCTTTAACTCGTGAGGGATTAAGGACTCTAGACAGTGCAGTAGACTGAGGGAGACGTTGAAGACTTGATCCCTGTCCTAGTGAGGGGAAACGACATACAAAAAGCAAGAAGGATTTGTGAACGGGGAAACACGTGTTGGGTGGAGGCTAAAGGGTCCCACATGCTGTTGATTTGACCGTGGCCAGGTAGATAAAGGACAGTGGGAAGGATGAAGCTTGAAGGATGGGGCTAGATTTGTAAGAAAGAAGGAGTGAGGTCTGCTCACAAGCCAGAGGGCTGGCCTGACATGAATGGATAGCTCATGTTACAGACACATTGGAAATGAGATTGGACTGAGGGAACGGGGCCAACCAAGAGAGGCCCGAGAGCCAGAGAGGACTAAACCCGACTCCAGGAGCCAGAGGGACACATGGAGGTCTTCACGCAGGCACACGCTGATGAGTGCGTTAGAAAGCTGAGTCTGGATGTGTGTTGCCTGCACTACAGGAACCAGGGTCTGTCAGTGGAGGAGCCCAGGGTTTCTTGAGTACTCCAGAAATGAGGCACTGAGGGCCCAAATAGTCAGAGGGAAGAAAGACAGAGGGACTGGCCAAAGGAAAACTGCTGTAGGTCCACACAGCTGGAGGTACCCACACAGCTGAAGGTCAAGTGAGGACAGCAAAACCTCCAATTAGAGGTACCCTGTGGCAATTGGAGTGAAAGAATTAGGATTTAGGAGTCCACAGCCAGCAAAGAGGTTGTAAATGAATTCTCTAAAGAGAGTGGAAAGTCGAGGGGAGCTGAGGCAGGGCTGGGGCAAGAAGGTAAGAAGGAAATGCTAAAGGAGCAGTTGGAGGCCAGAGGCTCTCTGGAGGATGTGGGCTCAGAAAGCTGACAGCTCAGAAAGCGTCCAGGAAGTGGACGCTGTCCAGGGTTCTCTGCAGAGTGGGTCAAGGAGGACGAGGCTGAGGAAAGGTCCTTCTGTGTGGCAGCGGAGGGCTCCAGGCCACCTGGAGCATCTTGGAGAGGCAGTGAGGATGGAAATCAGGTTGCCTGACACCAAAGAGAATAAATCCATGCATGTTTCAGACTTTGGATAGGGAAAGGAAATGAGGGCCAATAATGGTCAGCAAAGTATTAAGTCTAGATTCTGTCTGCCCCCTGGTCAACACAGGTGAGTTCCGTGATCTCTAAGAGGCAGGTTCTCTGGAAAGGAACTTTCAAAAGGTGAGATTTAACACAGGTGTACTTTTCATCTTTGCCCTCTTGCTTCCTCACTTCCCACCCCCCACAATCTTTATGCTTTCTCCACTCCACTTTGCAGTTTCATACTTTAGGATACATTGGATAGTTGGCATAAAAAGCTGAGTGTGTCCAGGCATGGTGGTTCCTGTCTGTAATCTTAGCCACCCAGGAGGCAGAGATTGGGAGAACAAAACAAATTGGGTTTGGTGGCACGTACTGTCATCCCAGCTACGTGACAGGCTGTAGGTCTGAACAAAAAGCAAGACCTTATCTGAAAAATAACCTGAAGCAAAAAGGGCTGGAGGTGTGGCTCAAGTGGTAAGTGATTGCCTAGCAAGTGTGAGGCCCTGAGTTCAAACCCCAGTGCTACACACACACACACACACACACACACACACACACATGAGTGTGGCCATAGCCAATGCCTGGGAATAAGGAAAACTCAGAAGTGGGAAAGGAGAACTCTGCTTAAAATTTCAGCTGCAACACTGAGCTAGAGATTTTCTTAGAAGATATTATTTCCACTAGAGTGAAATTACAAGTGAGACAATTATGAATTCAGTCCACTTGCTTTTGAGGCAAAGAAGATTGTTATTACACTCTTAACATAGAGGATTAAATACCATGTTTTTCCGACAATGGTAAAATCTTAGTCTAAAAAAAGCAAAATTTAGAATAATTACAAGGATCTACATGTTAAGTTAATTAGATATAATCTACAGCACATTTTTAAAAAAAGATCCATAGAGAAAGTTCAAGAAAAATCCCTGAAGACTTAATTAATAATGTGTGATTTTTGCACCTAAACATTTTAATAGACTGTTCTTCCATATCATCTTGAAATAATTTGTGGCCTGAGCCCAGAAAATGTTGTCATTGTAATAAATGATGTACACTCTAGGACAACCTAACCATAGTGCTCAGTGGAATTAATAACAGCATTTGTACAATGTGTAAAAAAGAGAAAGGGAAATGGGAGTTCTGTAGCCTTTATTCATAGAGAGCAATTAAAAAAAATTACCCAGAAATGTGAGGCCTTACACATCTATTGTTTAATTCATCATTCCTCCAGAAATAGCTACACAGTGCCAGGCACTACACTTGGGCTAGGAATACAGCAGAGAGAACTCAGTGCTGTCCAAACTGTAGGTGGCCATGAAGTCAAGATATAAGGTCATAACCAGCACCTTAAAAATGAAATAGGGGCCAGGCATGGTGGTACATGCCTGTAATCCCAGCTACTTGGGAGACAGAGGTAGAAGGATTTCAATCTGAGGCCAGCCAGGGCAAAAGCAGGAGACCCTATCTGATAAACAAACTAAAAAGCAAAAAAGGACTGGGGTCATAGCTCCAGTGATAGGGCCTTTGCCTCACAAGCACAAGACCCTGAGTATACTCAGTACTGTGAGTATACCCTGAGTATACTCGGTACTGTGAAAAAGAAATAGAAAATTCCATTTCGGGGTGGACTTGATTAGCTATCCATTCATAGATAGCATTATTCACAGCAGTCAGAAGGTGGGAGTAACCCAAGTGTGCACTGATTGACTAATGGCTGAATACATAGAATGTGAAATATTCATTCAATGACCATTAAAAGGAAGGCAATTTTGACACATACTACAGTGTAGATGAACCAGAGGACACTGTGCTAGTATAAGCCCGTCCCAAAAGGATAAACCCTGTAGGATTCCACTTACATGAAGTTCCTAGAGTAGTCAAATTCATAGAGATAGGAAGGAGGATGGTAACTGCCAGGAGCTAGAGAGGGGCATGGGAATGGGGGGTACTGTTTTCTGGGTACAGAGTTGCAATTTGGGATGATGAAAGAGTTCTGAAGGTGGGTGGGGCTGATGATATGAAAGTACTAACACCACCAAACTGTACTCTTAAAAATAGAGCCAGGCATGGTGGTACATACCTGCATCCCCAGCACCCAGGAGGCAGAGAAGAAGGATCAAGAGTTTGAGGCCAGCCTGGGCTACATAGAGAGAGCCCTGAATCAAAAACAGCAAGGACTTGCATAGCACATCCTAGGCAAGACCCTAGTTCAATTGACATATAATAATCGTACAAGTAATTACAAGTAATAAGAGCTTTGAAGGAAAAGTAGACAGAAGGATTTCAGGTTCTTGTGGAGGGCCTGATTTGGACGGAGGAAACAAAGGACAGGGGCATGAGCAAGGGGAGGCCACTTCAGGCAACTGAGGGTCATGTGAGCAGCAGAGGACATCACTGTGGCGGATGGGGGCCCATTCACAGGGGCCTCAGAGATCCTGTTAGGAGGGCTCTGATTTTATTCTAAAAGCAAAGAAAAGTTGACCTTCAGTTGGTGTTATGGGCTGAGTTACGACCCACCCCCCCAGCCCCCCCACCAAAATTCTGATGACAAAGTCCTACCCTACTGCGTCAGAATCTCAGAATGTGACCTCTATGGAGATGAGCTCTTCACAGAGGTGATCAGGTGAAAATGAAGAAATTACAGTGAATCCTAATCCGATGGGAGTGCTGTCCCAATAACAAAGGGCCATGTGGACATATTCACACAGAGGAGAGACTTGAAGACACAGGAAGAAGATGACATCCACTTGTCAAGGAGAGAGGCCTGGAAAAGACTTTCTCATGGTCCTCAGAGGAACCAACTCTGCCTTCACCTTGATCCTGGACTTCCAACCTCCAGAACTGTGGGGCAATAAATCTGTTGTTGAAGCCACCCAGTTTGTGATATTTTGCTGTTGGAGTGCTAGAAGACTAACACAGTCAGCAGAGAATCTCAGAGTCAAAGATTGGTTGGTATACAGATCACAGCATTCATTACTGATATTAAAATAGGAAATATAAGCCAGATGTGGTGGGACACACCTGTAATCCCAGCATTACTCATGCTGGGAGGCTAAGACAGGAGGATTGTGAGTTTGGGGTCAGCCTGGGCTACAAAAGAGAACTTATCTCAAGACAAAAAAAAAAAAAAAGAGGAGTTAATCAAGATTCTTGGAGTTCAAATCCCCACACGGCAAAAAGAAAAAAAAATTGCAATAAAGAATATTAAACTCCATAGTTTCCTACCTGCCTGCCAGTGTGACTGTCCCTTCTCCAACATCCCCAACAAATGGCCACTCAACCCCTCTCAGAGTTGAAGAGCCTCCAGTGATTAATAGACTTGTTTATTTTTATCCCAGGTGGCCATAACCAAAGCATCCTTCATCCATCCTACTTTGGTCTGGTTAATTTGGTCTCCCTCTGTCCTGGTTCAAGCTTCTATCTACTTTGAATCCCTGCAGGAACAGTCTGGGTCCTGGTGTCCCCCACTCAGCTTCACTACTCCAAGCTTAACTTGTCCAAAGAGAGTTGATCCATATCACTACATTCTCTGTCACCTACTGTTAAGTACAAACATCTTGGCCAGTCTGTGATCCTATTGCAAGTGCCATCTTTGGCACCCAACACACCCTTGCCGCTCCATACTGTCTGTAGACTCTTACCATGGCTCTCACACATGCCAGGCACTTGAACCATTTGGACCTGAGCCAGCACTGCTCCTCAATCCTGAGTTGTTTTCCTTGCCCATCCGCACCAAGACTGCCCCACCAGAGAGTCCTTAACAGGTGTCTACAGACATAAGCAAGTGTACCCACTACATTCCCTGTGTATCCCAGATGTCAATCTGCCTTGGCTTTTGGGAGCTCTGTGTGTGCCCACCTCTCCTGGGAGGCATCTCTAACACCCATCATCTTGACTCAGTGTTGAGTGTAGTTGGCAGTGAGTAAATGCTGATGAAGGAATGAATGCATGCATCCTCTGGATGATGTTGTTTGCCCCTTATACATGAAGACTTTCCAATGCTTGGAGGAAAACCCTCACCTCTGTTCTCCATTTCCATCCGGCCCATCACAGCAATAGTTTCTAGACCCCTCCTTTGCATATGACCATTCCACCCCACTAGGTCCTTTTCTCCTGAGTTCTGGTACCCAATTAGCTCACAGGGCTCTGACCGGGATGGTGGTGCCCTTTAATACCTCAATGGTATGATTCTGTTGATGAAACCGAAGTTTATACTGATTTTTTTTTAAGCAGCCAGGATGTGGACTGTTCGCTAATATTGAACACTTGGTCAATTATAAGCCTATCAGTCTTTTTCAAATGAACTGCTCTTGAGTTTCCTCCATCCTGTACCAAGCTAATTGATTTTGGTTTTTTATCTAAAGACAGGATTTATCTTCATCCCTGCTAAATGTCATTTTATTGGTTTTCATCCATCATTTTAGCCAGCCGAAATCTCTTAAACTCTCAAATCTGGCATCTAACACATCAGATTTGTGACAGCAGTAAATGTTCCATAAGAAACCCTTCAATGTCTCCTTTGTCCCTGCAATTGTTAAACATATCAGCAGCCTGGGAAACGGGCAGAGCCCTGGGTAGAGCACTAGGGCTGCCTCCCCAACCGCATCTCTATTGATCTGTTGGTCAATCAATACTCTGGATAGTGTGTCTAACTAAAAATGAAATCACCCCAACAGCCTATTTTCCTCCATATCAACCACAGGATTTTTGAGAAGGACCTTCACCATGCCTCTATAAATCCACTCTGGTAACTGAAAAGTGGGAACGGGGTTGGTTTGGCCCATAGTAACCTCCTTTCCTGCCAAGTGTTTTTATATGCTAGCTCTTCAAAGATCTTTGAAAAGTTTTGCTCAGAACCAACATTAATATCAAACGCCTTGTCTGTATTTTCCAGAATCCAAGTTTTTCTTTTTCGTGGAAAATGACCTTTTCTTCCTTTCCAGTATCTCCCTTTCCTATCTGGCAAAATTAAAAGTCGTCTGTAAAGAATGAATTCATGGTAACAAAATGAGCTCTTGGCATCTCAGACTCTTGACAATCCCTCCCAAGAGACGAAATAGGGTCTCTCGAATTATTTGCCAGGGGCTGGCTTCTGACCACGATCCTCCTAATCTCTGCCTCCTGAGTAGGTAGGATTACAGGCGTGAACCACCAGTGCCCAGCTCCCTTCCAGTTTTAAGGTTATTGTCCGTATTGGAGAAAAAGAAAGCCACAGAGCCACATCCTAGATATGTAGACTGGCTTTCAGTATCCTTCATGGCTCCCATCCCCAGCCCTGCTGGCTTGTGTGTCTTTTGTTGTCTGCCCCAGGACTTTACTCAGAAGATTCCTGCTGTTGGAAAGGTCTTTCAACTCAATCCAGGAGCTGCCGGGCTTTGCAGCTGACTGGAAGCCTCAGGTGTGGCAACAGATCTACTGCTCATCTT